ACATTTAGCATGCATCAAAATAAAGTTAGTTGAGAATTCATAATAAAAATATGAAAATAATTTAAGGGTTGGAAAAAATGTTCTGAGATAGCATTTAGAGAATTTGGTATGTCCAGYCTAGAGCAAAGACATAGCAACTGTCCTCAAATAAATATCAAATTCTTCATATTTAACAGAGTAATTGCAGTGATAGAGACAACTAAGAGTAATTGTTCTTGCTAGTAAAAATRACATTAAAAATAACAGACATCTGGAATGAGACAAATGTGGGGCAAAGAATAACAAAATTATATGATTTTTAAAGTGACGAAATAAACTTTCAGGAGATTATTAAAAAAATTCTGCATAACTATGCCTATTTATGTTTCTTCTGTCATATTCTCCTAATTTCTTAGGCAGTCTGTTCCCTTGTCCCTTTTAAAAGTTACTCACTAGCATTCTTGTTTTCTCTGTTCCTCCAGTTGCACTGCCCCGCAAATGTGCAGCACTTATTTTCTTTCTTTCCTTATTTTTTTTTTAATTTTTATGTAGGGACTGTGCCCCAGTATTTGCAATCTTCTCTTTTATATTAAAGTCGCCTCCTGAACCTCCTAAAATTTGATCGTGGTGATGTCATCTCCTGGTTTTGACCCTAGGCAATGGYCTAGCCTATTGTCTCTGCATGACTCTTATGATCCCTAGGACAGAGGTAAAGGCATACTTTTCATATGCAACTACTGATTTAAGATGATTCCACTAATAAGTGCCATCTAAAGAGCACGCTTTACACTAGCTAMAAATCAGTATCTGATAGTCTTTGAAACTGTTCTCTGCATTTGGGCTTCTTAATGTTTGTGAATTACTTAAAAATCTGGGAGTATTTTTCCAAATTCTTTTAAATAATATTCTGTAAAACAACTATATAAAATCTTTTCAGGTGTCTAGGAGTGTAAGTTGTGACACAATGCAGTGGTGTGGGTTGGCTGAAAAAATGGAAGAAGTTTCCAAAAGAAATTAATCTGCCACTGTAAAATTTATGAGCCATTTTTTCAGACATCGACTATCAGATGGAAATGGGAGGAATAATAGAATATAACTTCTGCTTTACAATGGTCTGTTAATAGAGGAAAGCAAAAGCGCCTGTACTCAAAGGAAGCTGTCAGCAAAGCTGCAGGCTRGAGGTCCCAGAATCGTTTACAGTTCTGGCAAGAAGGAGATCATTGCTGGGGAATGAAGCTCGAGGAGGGAACCAAAAGGAAAAGGCCCGGGGGAAGGTGGGGGGGCTGCAGTATAGAAGAGCAGAATCAAGGATCTTTCTTCACCATTATTTTTTTACAGCTTTTGTGTGTCTGGTCTGATTTGTTGTGGGAGACCTGCTGGAGACAGTGTATTTGGCACAGGACAGGGTAGCTCAAAGCCAAAAGGATGATGCTATTGCCAGTTTAAAAATATGGCTTTTCTTTTCTTCTTTTTTCCCCCCTCTTTCCCCCTCCCTCCTTTTTCTTTGAAGGAAGGAAAAGGGGAAAGAAAGAGATTTGCAATGAAAACCAGAGCAGTGGGTTAACGAGAACCCTGCGCTTCAGTAGACTGGAAAGATACACAAGGCACTTCCTCTACTATCTGGCATGCAATTCTGCTGCTGCTGCTCTTAGTACATAACTTTGGAGTGAAWAAGCAAATAAGTGAAACTTTTTAGGAGATACCAACTATGAAACACCAGCTATTAATCTGTCCGTTTACTCTCTTCCCTTTTCTCCCACCACATTATTCCTTKCCACAAGTCTTTCCCAGATCTCATGTCTACCTGTGAGAATACGCACTGCCTTGTCATGTTTTCAGATGACTCCATTTGCCTTTTCCTTGGCATTGCTTCTCAGAATGAATTAGGGACAGAGCTAATACATTTATATTTCTCTTGTAATCGCTTAAGCTTCTTTAACTCAGAGTCAGAAAGAAATGCAGTTGGTAGAAATAAAGTCATCCATCTTTGCTGAACTATTTCCTYCAAATCTGGCTGGAAGTGTGAATGCAAAAGAAAAATTTTAGGTGACTTGAGCTTGCTCAAGGACTGTTTAAAATGCAGTTGCAATTGCTGCATTGCTGCATAGGAGTATGTTTTACTTCTGACGGCTTTTCTCAAATGCAGTGAAAAGCATGATGTTGAGGTCACATCTTCAACTTGGGTAAATSATTACAGTATAACTGAAGTCAGAAAAACAAGGCAATTGGCAAAACCTGAGCATTTTGTCAGTTACAAATTGAGAGTGATGCTACAGATGATTTTTGATGCTAAAACACCTCATAATCCAATCTAGCTATTCCAGGCTTTCCTGTAAGCAGCTCTTATGTGGTTCCATTCTTATAATGAAAAAGACAAAAAATAAAGTCAGTTACAGCAAAATCTTGGATGAATTAAAGATAAGCAATCACTGARCTGGAGTACAACTGTGAAGCGTAAGTTTATTAAGAATAAGATTAATTAATTTACAGACTATCCATTAATGCCAAGCAACAAATTTAACTTTTTTTTTCATTCACAACTGCTGATCTTTAAAATGGCCAGAACCAGAAGAAAAAAAACAAAAAAAAGAAACTCCAGGCTATCTAAAGCAGTTGTTTTCATTTGACAGTAATTTTCCAAGAGAAAAAGTACATACTGTTYATTAGGTTTATTAGATAGCTTCTTGAAATACTGAAACTATAAAAACAGATGTATTTCAGTTTTTGACTGGCCTCCTCCTTTGCATCTGTAGAACTGTAAGTGAAAAGAAATACAACAACTAATCCTGATCCTATCCATAAGACAGGTACACACACCCAGGTGACCCAACTACAGGTGATACAAAACCTTTCACAGTTTTAAGGACACAAAAAGATAGTGTAGATTCTGAAAACCCAGATTTTTATTGCTGCTATGAAGAGGGCTGGTGTTTAAGTTGWGTTAAACACTTAAATATTCAGATATTCATCTAAAAACTGGTCTGGGCATCTGTGAATACATTGCCTTCCAACATGTCTAGTATCTTTTATCATAGAGTCATTATAGTTGGGAAAGATCTCCATGACCATTGAGTYCAGCCTTTGGCAGTACACCACCTTGTCAGCTAAACCACAGCACTAAGTGCCACTTTCAGTTATTTCTTGACCACTTTTTGCATCCAGTGAAGCTGGAAATGGCACAAGGAGAGCCTTTCTTCCAGAGTGCTCTGGCACTTGTGCTCTTTGCCTCAGTGGGCAAAGAGAAAAAACAATAGCTGAAAAAAGTTACCGCAACTCCTTGTTGCACAAAATCAAAATGAAGTAGTTGGGGGTGTAAGGTTTAAACCACCCAGTACGCAAAGAGTCTTCAAGGTCTTCTGCATTTCAGTAGTCTAGTTTATCCCTTCCTGGCAGGAACACACCTTGCACAAGACACACCAATATGAAACACCTAAAACATCACAAACCACATGAAATTACAACCAATTAAATTTGTCTTTCTAGAAAATTATAATCACAGATTGTATGAATGTGACAATGCTTGTGCTACTGTACTGCACACCATCTATTTCTTTGTTCCTAACSCCTTTGTTCAAAGAGTCAGGATATCCTGATACAAAAGGCTCTGCAAAATACCAGTACAACAATGACAGCACGCTACTCTGGAAGTGCTTCACGATTTTCAAGGCAAAGCTACCAGATGTAGAAAGCTAACAGCATGGCACTACACTTTGCAGTCAAAACTTTTGCAAACCACTGGAGTTATCAGTTTGAGGTTAGAACACTGAGATAAGTAAGGCAGAGATCCTATAACAGGRGAAACAGCATGCTGCCCCTACTGATGTTAATGTGAGGAGGAAAGGCTTGTGCACTGTTTTCTACATAATAAGGGTATTAAGTTCCAGTCCATTCTCCTGGCTTCTCTTCCTCTGTGAAGGAAGATCCTGCTTGTTTAAAGGTTTACTTTCCATCTGGAAAGAAAAGCAGGAAATTGAATGTAACCTGGAGAAGACAAACGTATTAACTATGCATGCTAGGAAGTATTACACTGCCCACTAAAATCCCATTAAGTAAGTCTTCTGCAGTTTTACTGAGAAGTGCTGGTGTGAGAGCTCAACCTCCACCCCTCTGCTGCGCGCTCGGTAAACTAAGAGACAGACCAGTACTACCAGCCGGCTAGAAGGGATGTGYTGTACAAAGGCAACATAAGCGTTGCGAAAATCGCATTGCCCCTCCGGGTCAGGGATCTCAGAAAAGGGCCGGGCGCTGCTAAAGGGTCTGGCCAAAGGTAGCCCACAAACCTAGGGAAGCGCTCGCCGACAGCTGCGCAGCCCCAGCACGCCACCTCATTGCTGCTGCATGAGACAGAGCACTCTCGCGGGCGGCTTTGCCTTGTTTTTAAAGATTAGCGATGAATAATTGTCTCCTCGTCGTAGTGTGCGAGCGACCGCTGCCACCAGGCAGTGTCCTAACATGAACCCGTTCAGGTGGAGCTTTAGGGCCGAAGCGACGAGGACGCGGGGCAAGACCCCACACCCCCTCCCCTAAACCCGTCGTTTCAGCAACTCGCTCCTCCCCGACCCCTCGAGCCCCGGCACCTCCGCTGCCTTTCTGGGTGCCCGCTCGGGGCTGGCGCCCGACAGCGGGGACAGCGGGGCACCGCACGCCGCCASCGGACTCGTGCTCCGCTGCCGGCCCTCGCAGCGTCCCGTGAATCACCGCCCTTCCTCCCGCCGAAGGGCAGCCGAGGTGACGGCGCCGTTTGACTAAGAGGCCAAAACCCCCACCGGCTCCGCAGCCAGCTGGGCGAGGAGGAAGGCGGGGCGCTGGGGGCTCCCCCACGGCATCACGGCGGGGATAAAGTCAAAGCGTCTCCGCCGCGGCGCTTAGCGGGGTGTGAGCTGCGGCTGTGCCGGCGCGGCCCCGCTGCCCCGAGTGCCGCCYGCAGCAGCAGCAGCCCGAGCCCCCGCCCCCGGGTCCCGGCGCCGCGCCGGTATGAGCGGCGGCCCCGCGCCTGCCCGGCAGCCGCTTCTCCCCGGCTGCAGGCGCCTGGCGGCGGGCTGAGGGCGCGCAGCGGCGGGAGGCGAGCGAGGCGCCGGAGCCCGGCGCTGCTTCCTTCCTTCCGCGGGGCGGAGGTGGTGGGCAGCCGGGCCCCCGCCCCGCTCTGGATGCCCATCGCGGCTGCTCGGGCCGGGGGGTGGCTGCGGCTCCCCGGCGGGGGGCGCGGGCCAGGATGCCGGTGCTGGAGCGCTTCTTCCCCGCGGCAGAGCCGGGCAGGAGGAGGAGGACGGGGGAAGAGCCGATGCCCTTTCCCATGGGCAGCCTGCCCGGTTATCAGCAGGGGACCCTGGCCTGGGACTTGCCCGACATGATCAAAATGGTAAAGCTCGTCTGGAAATCCAAGGGGGAGCTCCGCGGGGCGAAGCACAGAGGCATTTCGGAGAGCGAGGATGCCCTGGGCGGTTCGGCAGGTAGGTTTCCCCCGCCTTCTGCTCGGGAAAACTGGGGACCAAAGGCGGCTGGGGCCGGGGGTGGCCSGTCCCGTGATGGGGCAGAGCGTGCCCGACCGACCGCGGCCGGGCTGACAAACAGCCCGTGCTTTGGGCAGCTCTGCCGCCGCCGGGACASGCACACCGGAGTCTCTGCCGGTCTGAAGTCACGTCAGTTTGTCCGTGGCGCTCTCCCGGTGCAATCTGTTGCSTGGCTTTTACACTCAGGGTGATAGAAGCTCGGCTAAAAACCAGAGCGAGTAGCTGGGAGGCTGCGTGCCGGCGCGGAGAGCTCTCCCGGCCCTCACGGAGCCCCGGCGCGGCGGCCCCGCGGTCACGGTGACGGACAAGCGGCGCCCCGGGGCCGGCGGGCAGCCCGGCCGCTGCAGGAGCTCCCCCGGCTGTGTTCGCCGTGCCTTTCCGAGCGCATGGCTTCTCCTCCTGAACCGCCAAACCTCTCCGCGATCCTTGCGTGCGCTGCGCTCCCTTCACATGTTCTGCCCGCGCTAACCTTGTGCAAAGCGGAACGACTCCCTTACGACTTGTTCGTTGTTAGCCACCACTACTAAAAACTTGAGAAAGGCTGCCCCATTGCAGTAGTTTCTCTTTAAACGTGGTATATTACTGAGTAAAGAGCACGTGCTTTTTCATTAGCTGTATGAATCTTGCGTGTCAGTTTTTTCCGAACTCACTAACATATGCCACCACATCACATGCTTTTTTGAAGTCCAGGTTAGACCTGCAGCATTTTCATTAGGTAGAGATGAGTTGTCATGTTAGYATGGTACTTGATTCGCTTATTCTGCATCTTAACCCACAATGCTCCACATTGCTTATGGTTTAGAACCTCTTGCCTTCTGTTGAAGTCAGGGTCATGGGCCTGTAGCTGTCCCAGTATCAGTTCATAATTTTTTATTCTCTTGTAATTGTATTGCTGTGATTTAWTAGACTTAATGAAACTGTGTGGCTTGTTCCTTCAGAACTCTGTATTATCTCATCGCTGCACCTTGTCCACTACATTCTTCCAACGCATTCAGTCTTCAAAGATTATGCCTTTGCTTTCCTTTGGTGTACCTGTTATTGAGACCTATGATTTACAGTACTTTGTACCAGAATAATTTAATTTCTTAGGTATTGTAAGCATTTTGAAGTGCTTGTGTGCATATGTACGTATTCTCTGTGTGCGTGCAATTGTATATATAAACTTGAATATTAAATTTAAGTATCAGTGTATCACTTTTGAATGCCCGCTAAGATTGGCTGATTGGTCATTGTATGTCTGTTATTTTAAATGTTCAGAGTTTAATGAAAAAATGCTTGGTYCCCTTCCATTTTGAATAAGGGAGGATAGTTCTCGGGCTCTGGGGAAGAGGTGCAGTCTGTCACGCTACTCTTGGGGAATCACTTCAGTTTAAAAGAGTAATAAGTAAGTGTTGTGTTTAATGAAAGAGGAAATCAAATTGCTCTTTAAGACTTGGAGCAAATAAGCTGGGAATGTATTGGAGTCAACCAGGGAAATTGAGGCTTGTGTGGTGAGTACTGGGTGTTCAGAGATGGACCCTAGTCAAGCAGCCTAAGAAATGCTGCATTGCTTACACCTTATGTATGAGTAATGGTGGTTTTTCAGTGTGGTTCTGTTGTATCTGGTAAAATTACTTTCATTAGGTAACAAATGAGATTCACCTTCAGATTCCTGGAGGCAACTTAAAATGAGTGTGAATGTACAGAGACAGATTAGTCCACTTAGCAGGATGTGAGTAACTTGCATTTACTCAAATGGCCATTACTTGTATCCTGTGAGGGGTCAGTCCTTTTCATGGTGCCATATCCTATTTCATAAACTCAGCTGGCTTGCACCAGCACAAATCAGGGCAGAAGATGACTCTTAACTCGTAACACTTTAAATACGAATCATCAGACTGTTTGAGTGAACCAGACCTGGGTTGCTGGTTTTTCCTCCTCTGCAACAGTCATCCTAGTAGTTTACCCTCTTGTGGTTTCATTTTAGTCACTTTAGTATATTGGAGTATGTGGGAAAACCAGTAAATGCTGAAATCTAGTATACTTAAATAAGTGCAGAGTCAAAGAAAGCAGAAATRGGAAGAAGAGATAATAGTTTGGAAGGCTCAGTAGCTTGAGGTACTCAGCTTTGTTTGTGTGGTGGTTTGTACATGTTTGATTCCTTAAAAAAAAAGGACAAAACTTTATAACTTGCATCTTATAAAAAAGACAGTACTTAGTCAGGAATCAGATTTTCTTCAGGTGGAGTTAAAGCAAATAATTTCTGCTTGAGGTACTGCTAGCTAGGCAAATAAAGGTTGATTGTTCAGTAGTAGAGTTCACAGCACTTTCCACATCAAGGGCTTTTTCATTTGAATTTGTAAGTATTCATGTGATAACTCATGTTCTGTTATCACATCCTCATGAAACTACTTTGCTTACAGTAGAAGAGGAAATAGATAGGAATTCTGGAAGGAAACTGTCAGGATTTTTGCCTTGCTTGTTCATGTTAATACAGATTTACCRAAGTAAATTTCTTTGCCTTGTCCAAGTGATTGGACTGGGCTTTGGGCTGGCTTTCTAGAGAAGTCACRGCCCTCTTAACCATAGGTAGTGTGCAGGAGGGACAGCTGTATCTGCACACCATGTCAGTTCATGCACACCATGGCAATGTCTTGGGGACCCACTTAGCTGTAATTTATACCACATTCCTCTTTCCTGAGGTAGGAGTAGAGACCTTCTGGAGAGCAAAACTATCTATGTGTCCTCAGCTGTCATATGTAAGAGCTATATCTGGGTCTTTCATCTTGCTCAGTACCGAGAATAAGCTACTTAATCTCACTGCAAAAAAAGTGTTTGCAATACATCATGCAGCATATAGTTGGGATGAATGAAGGACTCAGTTTTCAATGGCTGCCTGCCATTGGGGTTTCTAATGATGATTTATTTTCACTTCCAAAGCAGTAAAACTCACACCTTAAGCCTTCTCTTCTTGTTGCACTGCTTTTTAAAGTTAGTATCAATTAAGARTACAGACCTTTCTCCTGCACCTGGCTTGCTGTTGCTTAGTAACTCTTTTTTCCCCCTCCCTATTTCAATCCCTGACCAAATCAGCACAAAACTGAGATTTGCTGAAGACTCTCTCCAGCTGTGCCAGAAGTAATTTCTGCAGGAAATGGGTATAATTCGATGTCATTCCATACTGTGTTTCAAATAGATTATTTGCAAGCCAACGCGTTTTACTTGAATGAAATAACAGCATGTGTTAATATTATTACAGTTGAATTATTAAAATAATTCTTGTCTGAAACTGTGTTGATCTCTAGGAGGGRACTGTGTTCTGTTTATGACCCTAACTTTCTTATCACTGTCTTCTAGAGTTCAGCAGTAGCTTTGCATATTAAACAAACCTGATCARGTTTGTTTGTTTAATATCAGGGAACAGGTACAGGTTTGCCTCCGAGAGTCTTCCTTATGAGCATTACCAACCTCTTAAGCTTACAGTGATCATCCCAGATAACTCCAGAGAGACTTTCTGTACTAAGTCTTGCACATGTGCTGACATGCAAGACTTTCAGAGAAGGTGCTGTGCTACTTAGAATTATCAAGGTCTGTTAAGGCACTGTGGATTTTTTTAAATAACTCTGAACATTTTTTTCCACTTATCTCTTTCTGTTGATAGATATTTTCTCAGAAATGTGAGTTCTGATTCATGCATGCATCATACTTGTTGTTAACTGCTATGTGTCTTTGCCATGAGCAGGAAAAGCAAGCAAGTACCACACATCACTCCTATTACAGTTGGAAAAATCTCTGCTAATTGTTGGTGTGTCTGTTTCCTTCTCTTCAGTCCACTGTCTCCTTTACAATTCAGTAATCTATTCAAACTTCTTGTTTGCTCTTTAAAACCTTAGAGCTGTTTGCTAAGCAAGCAGGCATTGTGATACACCTGTTAGAGAGGTCAGAGTCAAATCATTCATGCATCATCAGTGGTTGATTGAAGGTCTTCCTTAAAGTTATTCACAAGACTTCCAGAGACTCAGTTCTTCCGTAGTATCCCGGTAAACATGCCTTTTACTCTATTTTTCTTTTGTATTTAGCTACCTTTATCATGCTGTGCAATAGCTTTGCTGTGTACGATAAAGTAAACTTCATGCTTCCTCTKCCCATCATTGCTTATAGAATCTCAAAATTRTTTGAGTTGGAGGACACCTTTAAACACCATGCAGTTTCMATCCTCCTGCCATGGACAGGGACACCTTCCACTAGACCAGGYTACTCCAAGTTCCATTGCATCTGGCCTTGAAGGCTGTCAGGAATGGGCATCCACAGCTTCTGTTTGAGTGCATATTTGCTGAATTGTGTTTAGTTGTGACACCTTGAAATTCATTRCATATGTTTACAGTTCCACTGCAATAATTAATAATCATAAAATGCTTAAAATCTGAATCTSTGGATTACTGAGAACCAAATAGGGGTTTGGCTTAAAAGCTCATCATTTTGTTGATCATAGTTGATGCTGAGCATATAGGTGCCACAGATGAAGTTCCCAGCGATAAATAAAACATGGGAGKTATCAAATGGCATTGTCTTAGCATCTGACCAATTTCCTATGTAAATGTTCAGATTGAAATCAGCTTCATTTATGTCCTGCTGAGAGATGTATATCAGGCAGGAAGGCAACTGGCTATGTATTTCTGAGGTTAGGTTTTCTTTTCTTCTTTTTCCCTAAGTTTTATGTTGAGACTTGCTAAATCCATTACACTTAGATGGACAAAGAATGTGAATTTGATAGGATCAAGACTACCTGTGGCAACTTTGATTGCTCACTRACTGTTGTGTTCAAACTTCAGCCCCTGGAACAAGAAATACGCTCTTCTACATTTTGTGAAGAACTGGTTAAATCAGTGGAACTGTGTGTGATGGTCTCCTTTGGAACAGTGAAATTAGACAGTGACCAGTACCTCTTCTGTAGCATGTGT